AAACTGTTTCGTCGGAGTTTCACCGACTCATCAGGAGGCTGAACCCTCAACAGTCTGCAGAATCCCCTCACTGATTACACTGTAAATGATAATCTACCTGATATATATATATATATATATATATATATATTGTTCTTTTATATGTTTTTTTGTTTTTTTGGCCCGGCCGGGCAAGTGGTCCCAGGCCACTCTGGTAGCCTAGGCTCGCACAACGAAATTGAACAAGGATTTTTTTCAAATTTTGCCTCTTTTTGTATGTTTTTTTTCCAAATTTGGTGCTGACAACTTGGTGTTAATGGTCAGAATCCAGGAACCGGGCCCAGTGTCCGTTATATTGCAATGCCAGGAATCGGGCCTGGCGTCCCTTACAGAGATTCTGCAGTCCTGTTTAGGGGCGAGGCATCACCGGGCAAGCCGAAAAACTGCTGGACCGCCGTACACCACAACACCGCCTTCGATCAAGGAACCCATCCAAGCATATGGAAGGGTCAAGAGTCAAGACTCAAGACGCGAAAGTGACAACAAAAAAATAAAAAAATCCTTGTTCAATTCCATCGACTGAGCAAAATATTTCAAATTTAACGAAAAATGATAAAAATCATATCTTCCTCCTCACCTCTTTCTCCCTCCTCATCATCTTCCTCCTCCTCCTCTTAGCCAGCAAACAATCCGTATACGCTATCCCAATCAATACAGACAAGAAGAAGGGGGTCCTAGTACTCACCCTTAAAAAGTCGCGGGTGTCAGAATCCTTCAACCTGCAATCACAAAAGGAGAGAGGGTTAATGGAAGGCCGGAAATTCGGGGGGGTTCTGGCGCATCGCCAGAAGCAACGTGGTGGAAAATTTTGGAAACAAACAATGCAGGCTCATAATACAAACATAAAAAAAAGGCAAAACAAAAAAAAACAAAAAAAAAACTAAAAAACACTTAAAAACCCTAAGACAAAAATGAAATGTTTTCCGAATTCAAATAAGCATTCAACGAATTCGGTGTTTTCGCCAACTTTTTCGTCAATGGTCCGTCCAAATATGTACAAACCTAGACTACCAGCCGGGCCGCCCGGTCMCCCTGTTTACCCGGGCGGCCCGACTGTGCAAGGACCAAGAAAGGTCCCAGCAAAAAAAGAAAAAGAAAAAGAAAAAACTGAAAAAAACTATGTTATGCAGAAAAATAAACTGAACAACTTTTGCCTCAGAGGGTCACATTGACATTCTTTACCACATTTAAAAATTAAAATAAAAAATACTTTTTATTTTTATTTTTATTTTATTTTTAAATCAGGGCTGGTCCCCGGATGGACCGGGGACCCCTACCCCATCCGCGGTCCTCCCGGTTGGACCGGCCGGTGGCCCGGGCCGGTTCCCTCCCCGTTGCCCCCAGTGCATTTTCGCTGGGGCCTGAATTTTTTTTTTGCCGGCACATATGTGCTCCCGAGGCCTTGTGGGGGGGGGCCTGCCCCGCAATTTCGAGACTGGGTCCCGTAGGCCCGGATTTTTCAAGTCCAAAAAGTGGCCAATCTTGGCCGCCAATTGTCGCAGATCACCGGCAAAGATCGGCCAGGACCCCATTTCTTAAGAAAAACGGGCAGAGGATATCCGCCGCTGATCTTTGCAGATCAGATCAGCAGTCGAGAACCGCCACACATTTTCTTAAGATGTGGGTCGGGTAGGCCCCTTCTCCAATTTGTCATCTTGTAGTCCAACGGACCAGTTGCCGTTGGCAACAGCTGATGCTCTTTTACCCTCAGCCACAAGGGGAACACTATGCTTGTGATGAGGCTCTGCTGAGATTATATCCTTCTGCAACGTCCCTGCCATCTGTGGAAGGAAAAAGTTATGGGTTCAGATTTTGGAATCGTGATGTCAGAGCCGTCCGAGGTGCAAGCCCAAGAATGGACCTAAGCTATATTCTTCTCTCGATCTATCTCGAATGGACCTTGCTCCACTACATGTATCTGGACAGACTGCCAGRCAAGATACTTCCGGACTGATAACTCACCTTATGTAGAAACCAACAAACAGAAAACGCTCTGCCTCCACAAGCTGAAAGCTGGACCCATAACTCTTCTGCTGTCGAGTTATACTCTCGAAGAGCTATAACTTCTGGCAAGGACCTCCTCTCATCATATCTGGTTCAGCTCGTGGGGTATCAATATCAAATAACACACTCCACGAAGTGCTCCAGCCACGGGGGGGTCTGATAAGTGAACTTGCTTACTTGACCCCTCCCCATGAAAGCCATAGTTGCCTGAATATGTCCATAATAAACCCCTGCCCCCCCTCTGGAAGGCCCCTGAAAAATATTGCACCTTGAAAATTTTATTGCGGATTCCGACAGCTCTTGAAGAGCGCAGTCGGAATCTGCCAAAGAAAAAAAAAAAAAAAAAAAGGATATTTGGGCACTTTTTTTTCAAAACCGGTTTCCCGGTTTACCCCCCCTGGGCTGGTCCGGCTCCGGTTGGACCGGGGTAGCTCAACCGGCCGGCAACGGCCCAGCACTGTTTTAAATTCTTTTTGGCCCCGCCGGGCAAGTGGTCCCGGGCCACTCTGGTAGCCTACTGAATACGTGATATACCCTAAAGCACATACATATCACACCAAAAAAGAAATCAAGAAAAAAGTTCACACTCGCTGCTGTTAGCTGAATGGCACACACACGTCTACATTCATGACTTATTGTAATTAATTTTCATGGCTACCAGCAATTCTAATATATGGAAACTATTTAAAAATAAAATAAAATAAAATAAAAAATAAAAATCATGGCTACAATCCGGACGTCCGGACCGCTGTCCAGATGGTCTGGATTCAGTGCGGACTTCAGACGTCCGGTCTGGAAGGTCCGGATCTGCCAAATTTCAAGGGGGGGGGRRRCGGTCCAGGACCCTTCCCCGCTGAGGAGCCGAGCCCCCAAAATTGTTTTGGGGGGTTTTCAGGGCCGTTTTTGTTTTTTTGGGGGTCCGGACATGGTCTATCTCTATAATAATTTATTAGACATACCCATTTTTTTCAATTATGAATAATTCATTACTATTTTTTTGGGGGGGGGAATTCTTCCCTTCTATATTCTTCTCTCAACTTCTTGCCTTTCACTACCTACCTACTCCTAAGGCTATCTATAGGGGACCCCTGCAAGCACAGCTACCTCTCACTGTGAAGGGGATATTGCATGTTGAAGTTGTTTAAAGTTTTTTAAAGTTTTCTTTATAGTTTTTGACTTTTAACTCAAGTTTGGTGAGGAATTTTGAGATGACTCTGAGGCAAAAGTGGTTTGCAACTTTGCATGGTTATTCTGCATAACTTGCCTTTTTTCAGTTTTTTTGTTTTTTTTTAATGGTCCCATTGGTCTGGACATTTCCGGACTCGCTTACTGGTCCTGACCGTCCGGAACCATGCATGTCCAGAGGTCCGGACGTGTCGGGAAGTCCGGACGTCTGGACTCGACCGGACATGTGTCCTGTCCCCGGCGTAGCCATGTTACAGAACACAACTGCAAGGAAAATGAGCAACAGCGAAATGACAGAATCCAGTTCGCAAAATCACAATGAAAGCCAGATGATCGTAAGCTGTCCAGAAAGCAGAAATGAACTGATATTACACCGAAGGAGAACCAAAGCAGCGAAATCAATTGTCAATGAAAGCATTCTTCTCGCAATGCAACCGAAGCTCTTCCTCCTAGTGGCGCTCAGCGGCCAGACTACTGTCCTACAACTACGCACTAGCTACAAAATGACAAGCAACCCGTTGATGTCAGCAGCAGCAACCGAAGTACATGCAGATGTCGACCACGTGGATGTCAGGCAAGACCAGGTACGTGCCCTCACATCACCTCCTTCATCTCTCCCTCTCTTGATCACCCATATCTTCTCCCACGTCTCCTCTCTACCCGAAGACCACCACCTTACCCTGCCGACTACATCCAAGCCAATCCCGGCTACAGAGGGCTTGGCTACGGCGCTGCCTTCTTGGAGTGCCCTATTCCCCGACCTGCGCAGCAGCACGCGAGCACCCTCTCCAGCAGCGCTGCCGCATGCACTCGCAAGTGCCGGAATGTCCCCACCAGTGGCGGGCTCCTTCCTATACGGAAAGTGCTCGCCCAGTTTCCTGCCTATCTGGGCCGCGTGTGTGCCCTCTAGCTTCGAGTTGGAGCAAAGTGTCTGCGCCCAAGCCCGTTCAGACAGTGGCCTGGGACTGAATTCGCTAGGCATGCTCAACCACCCAGGCGCAAGCGTGCTGTTCCCTGCTTTCCCATGTTGCTGGGAGAGAGCAAGGTGGATGTAACCAACTGGTGCGTGGCAGCTGTCTGGCGCTTACCAAAGCTTTGGAAAATTGACGAACTCAGGCCTCATTGTAAATTTGGGGGCCCGCCTTCACTTAGGGCGGGCTCATGCTTGCTGCCGGGGCCCCTCACGGGCATGCCGAGGGTGCAAAGCCTGGCACAACCCCCTTTTATATTCGGGGGCGGGAGCCAGTCCGGTTGCTCATCCCCAGCAAGCATAAGAGTTGCATTTGAAAAAAAAAAAAAAAAAAAAAAAAAAAAGAGTGACATTAAAAAAAAAAGGGATGTTTCATGGTGAAAAACGACCACTTCGGAGATGCGCTAATTTTAGCGCTAGTTTTAGCGCAGGAGCAAGAAAGAGCAATTTTGACCGTGCGACGGTCTGCCGCGCGAATTTCCCCCCTCTCGATGACCTGACGCCGGGTTGACCCAGGTGAGCACGAGCAGAAGACACAGAGGCTGGCGGTGGCTGGCTATGGAAGGCATCTCGCCACAGGCGCCTTGGCGCCTCCCGTGCGAAGACCGTAGCTGCTCGACAAACGCAGAGCTGGATTCAACCCGCGAAGACGACGGCGGTACGACGGGCCACCGGCGGAGGGAAGGGAGAGGGGGAGAGGGGATCGGGAGGGACGGAAAGGGGGGTGACGATGTAGTGTGGGAAACAAGGGATTTAAATCTGGGAGGGGTTAGTCAGGGGGTTGAGCCACACGGGCGGGGAATGGAGTTTTCTCGGTGAACCGATAGGCTGTAAGGTGCCGTGATTCATGAAACAGCTTGAGGACTGGTCAACCTTGCGAGAGCGAGGAAGTCTTCAGAGGAGCGCTCGGGTAGGGATACCTCCAGTAAGCGCAGGTGGAGAGTTGATCAGTGGCGAGAAAACGACGAGTCGTATAGGAACTTCGGCTCGGAGTGAACCAGTGCAGGGACGTGGGGGGAAGGGCGGAGGGGTGTTCAATAGGACGGATATAGTAACGTCGACTGAAATTGTCCAAGGGTACTAGGAAAGGAATGAGGGGAATGGAAGGGGGGCAGCACGTACTGGAAAAGGGGGAAGGGGAGCCGAAAGACATGGAGGGAATTGAGCACGAAAGGTGCTCCCTCCTGCAGATACTCAGAACGTCATACTTGCTGCACAGCCTGCACTGACCAATCAACAGGCCAGGCCTAGTAGAGTACACAATGCTTGATGGAGTGTGCATGGCAAGCCCCACCAATGAAGTGATGTATATGCAGAATACGTACGTGAGAGCACACACAGTTGCATGCAGATTACCGGAAGAGACAAATAGTTGGTCGCGAAAGACCAAACGGGAGTGGGCTAGGCATATGGAGCAGCCATGGATGTCGGGTAGGGGGCCGTGGCGGGGGGAGATTGACACAGAGGGTGACACGATTGTTAGATACCTTGCACCCACAGTTGAAGTGAGAGACTGGCTAATAAACGATAGACGAGTCGAGGACCTGCATGTACCGGGTG